AGCAGAAAGTCAGCAGGCTAACATGAGATCAGTATTGATCTTGCCTGTGGGGTTGAAAATCTCTGTTCACAAGCTCTTCCAAGAATCTATATTTACCAGGAATTTTCCTAGATCTCGAATTCATTTCTTCCTGTGTTCAGCAGACACTTAGGAAGAGAGGCCCCATGTCAGACTTCTTTTTGGCCTTAGTAATATCCCAGAACTCATATCATAGAGACAAGTTTACTTCTAGAAGTTCAGCAAACGCACATAACTTGGAATTGGGATTTAGAATAGAAAAGTATCATTTGTTTCAGGTCATAAGACAAATTATAAGTTATTTTCATGACAAAATAATCATACAACCAGGAAATAATGGTATGTAATGTAAAGATCAACCAAGTAACTAGAAATGCAAAAAACAGGCAAATCCACACCATATTTTAAATCACATTTCAAATTAGTAGGAAAATTATGGCTGCAAAATAAAAAGCACGGGCTGGGGATTTAGCTCAGTGGCATAAGTGCCTGCCTGGCAAGTGCAAGGTTGTGAGTTTGATCCCCAGTAGCAAAAAAAAAAAAAAAAAAAAAAAGCTAATTCAATCAATAATCTCTCATAACATAATAACATTTAAGTAGAAAATAAAAGAAACATTGAACAAGCATATTATTTATAAATGTATTGATAATTCTAATTATTTATTTACTTGAAAATCTTATAAACTTGTATCTTGAGAAGTCTGCATAAAAAATTTTCAGTCAATACTACTGCACATTAATATATATAATTAGGTCCTTTTGAAGCAAAATTGTATAAGGCAGGCATGCAAATATAACTAGGTAAAAATTGAGATTCTTGTCCTTATAAGTGAATATAATTCAATAATTATTAAAAATCTAATATCTCTTTCAAATATTTTCTTTGTGAGGGATAATTATTTCAGTTAGAACTATAGCATATATTACAGATTCATGAGAAGTACAAATTGTGAATTTGCATCATTTTAATGTACATGCAAAATGATTTTTTCTAATGTAATGCCCAATTTTGCATTGATTATATTCAGAGATGCATAATATATATATATATATATATATATATATAAAATATGTACATAAAATATGGGATAATCCTGTGCAGTATATTCATATGTAATTATGAATCATTTCAGGGAATAATAAATTATTTCCTTGATTTGTTTTTTCTTTTATTCATTGAAAGAATAGTTATAGTGACATAAAAGCATTATTACTACATATTAATATATATTCTTAGTTGAAAAATCAAAGAAAAATGTACAGTATATTAAGTATATTAATTTTCTTTCTAAATATTAAAAATGATAGAAAATGAATCAATTTGAGTCTCCTGTTATAACACAGATCCATTTGATGGGCAAACATCTGCATGAAATGCAAAACACTGGTGTCATTGATAGCTTACAACTTTTTCCTAAATGACCTTGAAGCTTAATGAAATTCACATGAATGTTTTTATAATACGTGTTTAAAGAAAGCAGCTAAAAAAGATTCAGATAGCTTCATAAAACTGCATTTCATTTTTTTTTTTTAATGTCTGTTCTATTGAGCAAGTAAATCGCTCCAATTCAAAGCAGTTAACAAGCAACTTTCATAGTCTTTGTTGTTACCTGGCAGTGTCCGCTAGATTGACAAGTGGTGCCATGGTCTTTGAGGATGATTTCTGAGGATGTTAAGAGCATGAACCTCATTCTTTTTAAACATTTTCTTAAATACGAGCTTCAAAACACAGTCAACCATTGATTCCATCATTGAAGAAAGAAGGTCTTAGTGTCTGACAATGGAAAACACTACAAAAGAAAATGTATGTTAATCTAGTTTACTGTGTGTTTGACAGAAGTTGAGATACAGGGTTGTAGAACAATGAGAAATGTGTACGTTCTGCTCAGAAAGCTAAATCTACATATAGTCACCAGTGCCAAGATAAAAGGGAGTTTTAGAGTGCCCTATGCTGAGATTTAGAAAATCTAAGTAATATCTATTAAATCTATAAATGTTACAAACTTTGCACCAGCTTTCAGAGCAATACAGACTTTCTGATTTGAGATTTCCCTATATGATATGAAAAAATAATTTCTTTGGGTTAGTGAAAGCTTTAGGCAAAACAGGGTACACAAAACATGTTTTCGCTGGTTTTGCAGGCTGATCACCTCCCCTTGGAGCAATTCTCCTGTTACAGCATTTCTACTTCTGATTCCTAAAGAGAAATTGACCGTTTTCTCCCTAACAAGAAAAATGAAATTTATTCAGAAAGAAAAATCTGCAAGTATTCACTGAGTTTGTTTATTTCTTCTCTCCTGGAAAGTAAAAAAAAAGAAAAAAGAGAGAGAGAGAGAGAGAGAGAGAGAGAGAGAGAGAGAGAGAGAGAGAGAGAGAGAGAATTGGGAACTTCAAGTAAGCAAGTACTATTTGTTGCACAATGCAAAACATCTCAGGAAAGTTTCTTGTGTGGTTTATCTCCTTGTATTAAAACATACATCATAGAAAATGCACAGCGAGTCTATCTTGCAATATTGAAGCTAGAAGCAAAAGAAAAAAACAGTGACACTGAACTGTTTATACTTAAAATTTTGACATTTTGCTCATTGCAGTTTTTAAATTCATTTTTACTTCAGAAAAATTTTTAAAAACAGGATAACAAAAATTAAAAATACTTAGAAATGAAATCAAGAAACACTAATAGAGAAAAAGTAACAATGAAATGGGAAAATATTTGCAAATTATACATAAGTAAAGGTTTACTACTCAGAACATATTAAAAAAAAACTTCTTACATCTTAACATAAACAATCAACAAATGGAAAACCTCAAGTAATTCAATTTAAAATGGGTGAAGGACTTGAATAGATACTGTTAAACTTTGTGACTAGATGACCCTACCAAAGTTCATGCATTCTTAGATGGGGCTTTTCAGAGGTGGTTGAATCTACAATGTATGATGTTGGGGTTGAGGGCTTGCGAATACTAAATCAATCCATGTATTGCTTGGGCACCATCTTAATCCCGGTAGCCTAGGTAGAGCTAAAAGGGACAGAAAGATGCTTTTAAGGTCCTTTGTTACTTTTGTTACCTTGTGGGTGCCATGGATAGTTTTACTTTGCGATGCCTCTCTACCAAGCTACCCTACATTGCAGTCAGCTGATTATGGACTGAAACCTTTACATAATGTGAGCTAAATACACCTTTCTTCCTTTAACTTTGGGTGTCGATTATTTTGTCTGAGAAACAAGAGAAAAGTAACTAAGACAGCTACTTTTCTGAAGAAGATATACAAATGGCCAATAAGCACATGAAAAGATGCTCAAAATCACTAATCTCTACACAAATGTAAATTATAACTCTGAGATACCCCTTCATGTCCATTTGAATGATTATTAAACAATACTGAAAATAGTATCTGTCGATGATAATATAAATTGTAATTTTTATGTGCTGCTGTTGAAAATATAAAATAGTATACCTTCTATGGAAAACAGTATCACAGTTCCTCAAAAAATTAAACAGAACTACCACAAGATTGTACTTGTGGTTTATAGCAAAATGTCTGAAAACAGGAATTGAAGGAGATATTTAGAACACCTATGTTCATAGCAACACCACTCATAATAGCCAAAATATGGAAATAATCAACTGTCTATTAATGAATGAATAAGCAAAATGTGTAATGTAGTATTATGGAACACTAATCAATCCTAAAATGGAAATACATTCTTAGAATATGCTAAAACATGGATTAGCCTTGAAGACTTTGCCAGTGAAATAGACCATTTATAAAATGATGCTTTATGATTATACTTACATGAGTTTCCAACAGTAGTTGCATTTGCAGATGCAGTGGAATGGTGGGTACTACCCACAAGGAGAAGGGAGGAATGAAAAGGTACTCAACAGATATGGAAGTTTGGGAAAATGGACAGCTTCTTGGGAAAGACAGTGGTGATAGTTTTCTAATAGTGTCACTGCATGTAATGCTACTAAATTATTCACTAAACTTAAAATATTCAAAATATATAATGTATATTATGTATGTTTTATAATTAAAAAAATTTCAACCTACTTATATTCTTGAAGTGACTGCCATACTTACCGTCTCCTAGTCCTATATAATGTCAATGTTCATTTTCTTAATTTCTAACAAAATGTTATGTTCCGCATGTGTGTGTCGTCTCAAATTCATACGTTGAAATAGAACACCCACTACCATGGTCTTCGAGTGTGGGGCCTTGAGGAGATGATTAAGATTCAAAGGCCAGGGGCTGGGGATTTAGCTCAGCAGCGTAAACACCTGCCTTGCAAACAGGTGGTCGTGAGTTCGATCCCTGGTACCGAAAAAGACAAAAAAAAAAAAAAAAAAAAAAAAAAAAAAAAGATTCGAAGGCCAAATCTGCATGGACAGGAATAAGGCCCTCATACAGGAGGCTTATGTGAGCTCTTTGCCCCTTCTACCTTGTAAGGACCTTACAAGGTGCCAATTTTGAGAAAGAGACCCATCAGACACTTCATCTGTGGGCATCTTAATTTTGAGTTTTCTAGACTCCAGAACAATAAGAAATAAATGTCTTTTATAAAACTGCCTAGGTGTACAGCACCTTTGCTTTAATGTCCAAAATAGAGTAAGACAGTTTATCCATATAAAATAAACTTGCTACTTATCTGTTTCCTTTGCCTGCATTCCAACTTCATGTCCTTTATTTTCTTGTACAACACATTACAATATAATTCACTCCATAGTTGAAAATTCAAGGTAGAACTCAGGGTAATAAGGGTCCATTTGATATTCCCAGTTTTCATTGAATTTGGTTTCTCACCTCTCAGTCACAATTTTCAGAACTATTGTCTTAAATTTATTTTAATGAAGATTGGTATTAAAAGTAATATTTAAATAAGTTATCCGAAAAACAGTTTGATGAATTTCACCTTTTCAAAGGCTTTTTTTAACTCATGGAATAAATAATAGTAGTCCTCAAATAAAAAAAAAAGAGAACATTTTGAAATTAGCTTTATTTATTGTTAAATAAAATACATCAGCACATGTAAGAGAGAAATAATTCTTAAATCACATTTGTATTAAGATACATTTCAAAAAATCCGTATAACAATGACAAAACTTAAATAAGTTTTCAAAATCTCTGCATCTCTCCCTTAATGGGTGAACATTCAGAATTTGCTTGTATTTTGTATCTGAAATCTTGTTCAGCGTTGTTTTATGTCTTCAGCACCAACAATGCTCTTAACTCTCTAAGCTAGAAAGTCAAGACTATCTCAGAAGGTCAATTACAACAGTGTGTAAGGCCAAACTATTTCCAAATACACTGTTTTCACTAAGTCAGATTGGAAAAGGCAGGTAGCAATGGCAAGCAGCAGTTTAGAAACCATCTTTTTTCTATTCAGGACAATAGCTTCACAGGCCACTTACTTACCTTTGAAACTCCTTCTTTTGCATCTGAATGTGATCTAAGTGGTTTTTGTTTTATTGACGTCCCCCTCCAATTTCTGATCTCAATTTCTGAAAGGCACATTTTATATTCTATCCTATTTTGTCACTTTCTACTACAATCTGTCTTGTAACTTTCATTGAACCCTCTAAAATCAAAAGTCCTATTCTAATCTTTGTTTTACAAGTGTTTAATAATATAATATTAACCCAATTATTTTATATTATTGTCTCAGTTGTATTTAGTCTTCCCTTCCTCATTCATCCACTCCATATTAATAATAATGTCAGTTTTCTCCAAGGCATTTCCAATTTTATACTGAAGACATCAAAATCGATTTAGTACATAGCTGAACATTTGTAGAAAAAATCAAATGCTAAACAAAAAGATAAAAAAGCCAATAATAGGGATTATTTTATATCTTTTTAAAAAAAATGTCCTGCTTCATTTTTGTGAAGATTTCAGAAATAAAACACTACAGAGTTGCAGTGAAAAAGGGATCATGTTTACAAAGATACCACAACATCTCTGGAAAATACTAGGGTTTTAATAATTATGACAAAATGGAACTAAGTTGGATAAAAGTTTTTTGTCACTTTGCTTACACTATAATATCTGGCTTGTTCAATACTTCACTATATTGTCTATAACTCTTTTGAATCATATCAACTTTTATATTTATTTAAAAATTATGTAATCTTGGTAATCTACTATATATTCAGGCACTTCACTAACTTCTGATGCAATGACAATTCCTCTTACAGAGCATATAGTCCAGTGCTGAGGAAAATATAACCATTAAATATCTCAGATACATGAAACTGCAAGTTGTCTTCTACTCTGCTGGGAAAGTATAGTTTGAGAACTAATGAAGTCTCGGAACTGGGCAAGGACATTTTTGTAGTCTTAATTTTGGTCTTTGTGTGGAGGTTGAAGATGAGTCAGAGTTAACACAGATGGAGGGTCTGAGAAAGTAGGTGTAGCAGAGACAGAATGACCAGAACTTATAATGATACAAAGGGGAAGGAAGAATCTTTAGCACAAGAATCAAAAGAGGCTGGGATTGTGAGACAGGAAAAGGGGAAGAGGGAGAGACTTGTGAATATGAGTATAGTGTTGGATACATTGGTCTCCAAATTTGACTGTATTTAGCAGCTCATATCTCCAGTATTAAGAACAGTCACAATACATGCAATTTTGCATTTGTCATCGGAAAGACACACAGCAACTCTCCCTTCTGAAAAACTACTTTCTCATTACCCAGATTTCAAGAACCTTAGAATCTCTAACAGCTAACTCACTGCCTTTCTTTTTCTCTTTATTCAGATATAACTGAAGGACTTGTTCAGAGTTTCCCTGGTCATTTCCACAAAGACTTGAGTGTATTTATTGTAATAACCAGAGATAAGAAAAATAAAAAATAATAAAGCTGAGATAGTGATGGTAGTGGAGGAAGACACAGAGGGATGGAGAACCTTTCTCCTTAACTCTGACAAGTGAGATGAGCACAGGACAGTTGTAGGGTACAAAGGATATAGTGTGCAAACACGTGTCAAAGATGAGTTTATGATATTAGGGATTATATTAAAGAAATTTTATACTACATCTTTAAATAATTTTTGTAGTTATTTTTTAATAAGTAATATTTCAGTATTAGACAAAAATACTGAAAATCATTAGGCTTATTAAAGGAGGTAAAGTCACTTTATTATATTGGACTTTTTTTTTTTTTTTTTTTTTTCGACAAAGTCTCACTGCAGAGCTACGGAGGGCAGGTTGGCCATGGATTTGCTTATGTAGCCCATTCTGGCCTTGAACTCACAGAGAACTCACTCAGCTTCCTGAGTGCTGAAACCACAGGTATGTGCCACCATTTCAGGCCTGTTTACACTTCTAAAACCTAAATAATTGCATGTTATAGAATAGATGCTAATCATATTCACACATACACACACATACAGAGAAAAAAATAGGTGACTAGTGGCAAAACAGGGATTCTTGATAAAGGTGTAATAATCTAGATTTTTTTTCTAAATTTGGCTATAATTTTTGCATTAAATATAATTGTCTATGGAAACATATAGAAGTGAATCTTTTAAATACAAAAGTGAAAATTATCAGTCTGCTTTTATGTCCTTATTTCATGGATTTTTGTTAGGACTACAAAACACTCATCTGTACAGGCAAATATCCTTAAATGCAACTCTAGAGAAGAACTTCTAAGAATGAGTTTTCTAAAGACTGCTGATGTTCTTCGCAGAAGTGAAGGCTTTCCACTGCTTCTCTCGCTCTCCACGTTTCCCACATCTCTCAACAGGCCACCTCTGCCCCACACTAATTGCCTCGCTTTTGGTCAGAAGTTTCTTCTCCTTTGGACTTTATATCATTTCTATTTTCTGTGCTCAAGACAAAAATATCAAATACTTTAAATAAATGTAACCAGTGTAAAACAGTTATATAGTTTACACTGTATTTAGAGAGTAGATTAGTGTTTCCAAACACAATTTCTTAAAGATTTAAGTTATTCTCTAATATCATGCAATATTATTTTCTCTTTCAGTCAGTGATCTTTAACAAATAAAAAGGTAAACCAGCTCCTTTATATATTTATAATTTATTTCACCTATTTTTAATTCATCTTTTTAATTTATATAAATCAGGCCTTAAACTCAGGGTAAAAAAAAACACACAAATAAACACAATCATTGAAATACATGATGTCTATAGATAACAGATGTCTTAAAACTTTGAATTGTTTGTGATGATTAAATCAATTCCTCTTTTAATCTTTTCTGCATTTACTATCTTGGGCTATGAAGTTTGGTGCTTGTGGAGTCAATATCATTCTTAACACCAAATGTATATTGTCATGGTAAAACTGAGTGTAGCCATGACAGTATACAGTGCAGCTCCTCTGAACCTCCGTAAATGGGACTTTAGAAGCACAGTGAGGATAAGTGTGTGGAGATGGAAGGGACAGATGACAAGGGAGGACTAACAGTCCAAGTAAGATTTTAGAACAATATGGGATTTCAGAATATGTGGATTATCTCTGTCTCTGTCTCTCTGTCTCTATTTCTCTCTGTCTCTCTTTCCATTCATCCATATCTGTAGAAGTTTTATACAAAATTCAGTTACAATGTCAAGGTCAGCTAGGGGTCAATCCTTTTCTAGTGTTAAAATCCCACTACTTCAGGAGCAGGGAAGAAATGCGGTAAAATACATATTCTTCCAAAATCCTGGGCTTAAAATTACAGTCCTCACAGATTTTTGAACAAAGATCTTATTACCTCATCGGCACAGAGGCCATCAGCAACTGGCAGACCTTCATGTCCACCACTCAGCTGACCAATGAAGTTCCTGCCTTTGGATGGGCTCTCGGAATCCTCCATTCAGTAGAGGGTCTGAAATTCATCTCTGGGTGGCTCCTTTTCTCATTAACTGGATGGTTCTGCAAGGGCGTTTTGCTGGAGGCCCACGCGCGGGCATTTCCTCTTTGAAGATCTCAAGTGCACACAAAACTGGAGCAAGAGAACACCTATAACAGGCTGAAAGAATGAACATGTTTTTTAACCCCTATCTTCTACTATTTCAGAAAGATCTCACCTGTTCCTCATCTGACCTCTGGGGGGCTTACTCGGAATGTCAATGAAAATGCGAAGCAGGAAGGAAAATACCGGCTATTTAACGAGTATTTTTACACTTAACGTGGAACTGAAAACACAACGAAATGAATGTTTAATGGGCATATTTCAGAGTAATTAAAAGATAGCCTCGGAAAAAATTAATGTACCTATATAGCTCATACGGTGTATATGCACATAAAGCGATAACAGTAAGTACTCTATTTTAGTTTCTATAACTAGAATCTTCATAAAATGAAGCCGAAGACTGAAGGACTCTAGAGAGCAAAGTGCTGAGGAAGGAATTCTGCTTGGAAATACAAGCGGCGAGCTTTACGTCCTGTCCTTTGAGATTATACTTGGTTTAGGATTGTATTTCTCAAGGTCCATTCTAGGATTACTTCCTTTTCATATTTCCCTCTTTCTATTGACTGAGATCAGGAACCAAATAAATAAATAAATGGAAAATAACCCCCCAAAAGAAAACAGAACAACAACAACAACAAAAATAACTCCAACCAATACAAAATTAAAAATAAATAAATAAACGCCAAACTGGTTTACCTAACGGGAGTCTGAAAAGGATGTGCGGTGGAAAGCTGCTCAGAAGTGGGGTCAGAAGTGGAGGAAAGATTTTCAGGAACGGGAATCGGCTCTCTCCAGTGCAGCTCCCAGGTAGCCTAAGGTGGGGGGAGGGCGGCTGCTTTTTTAGGTCCTTTTCCCCAGGTTTGGGAACCCGGCGGCTGAGTGAAAGGCGGTGGCCCCAGCGGTCAGTTATCATTGGAGAGCCCAGTTTGGGGCTAAGCATAGCAGCAAAGACACTGCCGGCCCGGAGCCGGTAGGCGTTGGGCGTACAGTGCTGGCGCCCCGAACTGCGCCCGGGGCCGTGGCGCGCAGACCACCTCCATTTGCTGAAGGGGAGAAGCCCGCCAACCGCGGGGTGCCGCGCCGCGCCGCGCGGGGTACAGCAGCTTCCCAGAGTCAGAGGGGCCTGACTGCGCAGCACTCACAACACCATTTAAAAAAGGGGGGCAAAACCCCCACATAAAACTCGCTTCTTCGAGGCTAAAGGTGGCGGCGCGCACCTCGGCGCCCCCGAGGGGTCGCGGGGAGCATCGGGGGCGCCACGGAGGACGCGGGCGGCGCTGGCGCGGGGCTGCGCCGCGTGGAGGTCGCGGCGGAGCGGGGCGCACAGGCGGCAGCGCCTCAGCTGCTCGCGGCCGGCGGGGAGGTCCGGCGCGGGGTCCGCGGCTTCACCCCGCGGCAGGCAGCAGGCGGCGAGCAGCTCGGAGCCCTCGCCCGCCGGCCCTCGGCGCCCGCGCTCCCGCCCGCCCGCCGTCTCCGTGCCCCGCCCCGCCCCGCCGGGCCGCCCTCACCGCGCGCGCAGCCCCGCAACACTGCAGCGGGAGCGACGCTGCCGCCAGCCTCGCGGACGCGGGAGGAGGAGGAGGAGAAGGAGGAGGGGACGGAGGAGGGGAAGGGAGGGAGGCGGGGGCGGAGGGACGGAGACGCGCGGAGGAAATAAATAAATAAAACAATAACCTCCGCGCCAATAAGAGCGAGGGAGAGGGAAAGACGCGGCAGAGAGCCGCCGGCGCCCGTCCGCCCGCCTGTGAGAGGCTCTCCTCGCGCGCGTGTGTGTGCGTGAGTGTGTATTTGCTGGGACCGGAGCTGCAAAGTTCAAACTAAACGTGTTGCTCTCCCCGCCTGCGGAGGCCGCGGCCGAGGCTGCCCAACTTCTCTGGGCCAAGTGACTGGCGCGGCCCGGAGCCCTTGGCGCCCCCGAGGGCTCGGCTCGGCGCCCAGGCGCAGCGGCAGCGGCCGAGGCTCCGCGCACCCCGGAGGGCGCCCGCGGCCGGGGCTGGACGCTCGCCCCGCCGCCTCCGCCGACTCTGCTCAGCCTCTCGCCTGGCAACTGCAGAAAGGTACGTGACACTTTCCTGCAGGCTTCTCCGCGAGCACAGCCGCGTGTCTCTTTGGCTGCCCGTATTCTTCCCCTACCAGGAGTGCTCGTCATCAGTCAAACTTTACCTCCACCTTACACACGCCCGTGGCAGCGGCAGCCGCCCTACGTGTAGCGTGGGCACCTTTGCTAGTGCGAGCTCGGGGGTGGTGGTGGTGGGGGAGATGTGCTGAAAGCCGGGGTTCCCTGCGTTTCTTAACGATTCGCAGGTCTTACCTTCCGTGGGTGTCCTTCATTATGATCTCTGTGATGCCTGTAATGGTTTTCCGTGGACCTTGTGCGCGCAAGGACGCACAAGTTTGCAGAAAAGACACCTGGAAAGCAGAGGAAGTTTGCAGCCACTGGAGTCCCGGAGAGGAGTAGTAACCCTTTCTTTTCAGGAGCAGCCACGGTTGTGAAGCAGCAGCCTCCGTGGCTTCAGTGATAGCGGCTTGGCCAGTGGCAGCTGCTGCACATTGTCCCATTTGTGATTAGGAGAAAGAGGAAAGTGAGGCTGCCGCGTCGGAGAGCCACTCTGGAGCAGTCTGCAAAGATGCTGCAGCGGGGGAAAATCTAAGGGCTCTCCATCGCTGGGTAAATCCTACTGAGAGTGTCATGATTCCCTTTTGTGATGTTATGTGTTCACTGACAGGCAGTCTCTGTAAAACTTTTATTTTTAATAAAAGAATTTTCATCCCTAGATTAGATGAACAACTAAAAGGCTTCTCACAGAAATGTCAAAATCAGCACTGTGAGAGCAAGTGTGCAAGCCTGCAGTGAATAGCTAGCCAGTTGTTTGTAATGTATCACCTAACGTGAAATGTATCCTTCCTGCTGGTTATGGGCATGTTTTCCCTCCCTCCCTCTCTTCCTTTTTCCCTTCCTCCATTCCTTACTTTTTTCCTCAAGAAGTAGGAATTCTTAGTGAAACAAAAGATGTAAAAAGTCATTATAAGTTTTCTAAGTAACGTGCTTCAGCCTTTTGAAGCCACCTGCTGAATTAGTTCATGTTACTTTTTAGAGGTTACCACTTGGTGGAGAAGATGAAGGCATATCCAGCAGATGGAGCAGTGGAAAATTCTACTAGAACTAATACAAGACTCCTTTATCCTTATTTAATTGTGATGATGCTAGGGAGCTTACTTTGGTAGACACACTGGATTTTTGTTATCTTTGGAAAAAAATTCCTGACAAGTGGAATATGATTGGAGTACATCTGTAGAAAATTTAAACCTCTTAAGTTATTTTCTTTCATAAAGCATTTATAAAGAGTTTTGTGTACATATTAGAGTAGGATTTCATTCACAAATATTAGCTGGTCCCGTGGTACACTGTGTGTGTGGAAGAATTCTTTCTTGCATTAATATCAAGCTTAATCTTTGCATTATAAATAAATTATAAATAACTATATAAAATTGTATTTGAAAGTAAGCAAATATTATTTTGAGCACTTTTCAGAATGCCACTAATTTTTTTTTTTTTTTGTAAATGTTGCAAATAGGTAGGTATATTTATTGCTTAAGGTAGTTGAGGAAAGTTAAACTTTTTAGTGACTGGTAAGCTAATAGTCAACTAGTCTTGCTTTCCAAGAATAACAGGAAATTTAGAACTGGTATGAACTGAGCCCATGAATCTTATCTTCAAACACAGAGGCAAAACCCCTCAAAAGCTGCCTTTCTGTATCTGTGTGTGGACAATTATGATAACACTAGAAATGTGGATAAACAATCAGCCTTCATGAATAAATTTAAAAACTTTACTGGTAGTGACTACTCTACCACAATTACTTTGAAGTTTATGTAGAATAGTGTGTTACCCATTTTATTGACAGAGCAGAGAAAGCTTAAGCAATTTCTGTGGTCTGCTGCAGTTTCAGGAAAGAGAGCTGTTCTTGTTTCTAGTCTAGTCATATTCAGTGTTTCTCTCCTTTTGCTGTGTTCTGCTCCACATTTTACCATGATGTAGAAGTTTGCTTATTCTGAAAGGTCCAACTAGCTCTTATTTCAATATCATTATGTAGTAATTAAAAAGTTACTGCTATGTAGCAAACATTTTGAGAAACATAGAGACAAGCAAGTTACCTTTGCAAAATGTGGCACCAGTAATCATTTCAATTAATCATGCTTTCCAGTGAGTGCACAAATTTCTGAAACCTATGTGACTGTTTTCTAAATCATCAGATAATGTCTATAGAAAAGGGCTTAACTGTGCCTCCTTCCTCTTATTCATATAGTGTTCAGGAAGGCATGGAACTCTATCATCAAATAGTATAACTACCTTTCTGAAGAACTTATTCTACCTTGCCTGTTGCCACAAAGATTAAATGATCATGGAGTTTTCTAAATTTCACCCATTAGAAGTTATGCTCCTTCATAAAGAAAAATAAATAAAAAGAGTTTCAAAGTAAGGTGCTGAAAGTTTTGTGTCATAAAAATGAGCCATTTACTAAGTTCTTAAACATGCAACGTTCTTTATAATTCTTATTGACACTTTAAAATCAACTCGTAATAGCAATGTTAATTTAGTAAAATTAATATTAGAAATGGGTTTGCTATGATTGTTACTTGTGTCATACATATTTTCTAAGAAAACTGGATTCATTCATAAGCTTTTCTGTAAATTCAATATAAATAAAATGTTGGTAAATATAGATATAACAATCATAAATTGTAGATAGTTTTAAATTTAAAAAACTAATTGCTTTATACTCTCCATAGAGTAATGAACTTCATCAACGAAGTTGAATTGAATGGTAGAATCATGTAACACAGGTGAAGTAGAACTCAAGTCTATGGAGAGAAGATCTGAAAGATACTTATGTATATTCATAGGTAGTTACTATTATTCCTGCTCTTGGTTTTCACAGTAGTATGGTACTGAATTGAAGAATTTTAAAAGTACTTTAAACTAGTATTTGAAAAACACAGTTGTCAAAAATGGTTATCTGCTAAATAATGCACTTATATTTAACTTAAACCTCATGATAATGTTTGAAACATTGGCAAGTGTTCAGATTTCATTTACTAAACATTTTATTCCACTTTATGCATTATTTATATTTTCTTTCCATCTCCAGGACTTTATTGTGTCATAGCTATATTAGGTAATTTTTTCTTTGCATCATGCAATGTGGCTGTTCAGTTAATCTTCAATATAATTCAAATAAATTAAGCTTTAAGAGAAACATATAGAGAGATTGATAGAATGTGCTGTAGGAGTGAGTTTTGTTTTTCTCCACTAATTTCACCTAAGAGATAAAAAAAGATTTGTCAGTCAGTGAAGATCAAGCAAAAAAAAAAATGAAAGCTTTTATCCTTTTATTTCTGTCTTGTCACCTGCTTGTTAGATTTCTCTTGTAGTGTAAAGTATAGTACGGCATGCTTTTTCACTTATAATTTATAGAAAAAGCATATATATTTAAAGCCTGGTTGTTCCTTAGGGAGATCCCATTATTTTTTAATTAAAAGAAAAAGTTTAAGTGTAAATAATACATATAAGAAAATATTTTAATATAGATTGAATGAGCATGGCTGTTAAAATGCATCTTAGAATATAAATCTTACCAGAAATTATCTTCTAAAGAATTACTTCAAATAATGTGTGCTACTTTGACTACAACAATTGAGCATTTAATTGTTGGTGATGCATTGGGTACAAATACTTTTACTTCAGGAACTCTTCATTTTACCCAGTACTTCTTTCTATAAAGCTTTACGTAGATTATAGCTTAAATATTGATGCAATATATGTGCTTTATAATGAATATTTTATGAGATATATATTTTATGATGTGTACAAACATTTCTAGCATAAGTACAGTTTGCTCATATGATATTTAGGGGTAGATCTTACTTCACTGATTGTCCTGAATTCTTTTTGAATCCTTAGCGCCTTCAGACAGTTCCCCTGTGTGGTTTTTAAAAGGGATTTCTACTAGTTCTACATTATGGGTTTAGAAACTTTTGGCTATAAAAATACGATTAGATAAGCTTCCTACTGCTCAACTACTATAAAATAATGATAAATTGTAAGTAAAATGTACTAAGTATGATACTTACGATGATGTTATTTAACAACTAAAACCAGTGAACAAGACCAAAATAGAGAAACCTTGATAATGCTAAAAAACTTATCTTTCATATTGTATAGTACCTATATTTAGAACTTATTACTGAACGAAGGGGAATGGATCAAAATTATTACAAATTTTTATTAAGTTTTGTGTAAAGTACTTGGCAGACTCATAAATTTGAATTATTAGTATTAACACATCTTGCTAATCATTATTTTCAGGAAGATTTGGGAGGGATGAAGAGGAATAATCAAAAGATCGAAGTACTATGAGGGAGTTCAACATTATTGTTAGAAGAA